GTATTTCATATTGTTGTATATTCCATTCTAAGATAAATTGATAATTTAAATTCGGCATATATTTTATAAAATACAAATCATATTTACTTTTCATTTATTTTAAGTGTTCTATTTTTAGGGGGTTTTTTTATTTTTCGCATAAACACTTCTTTTAACAATATAGTTTCGCTCATCCATAGAAATATTTTAAAAGATGCTAAATTGAATAATAAATTAAAAAATATTATAAAATGAACCAAATGATGTCACTTTCCTTTTATTCGGATGTCACTTAAAGAACAAGCCAAATGAATATTTAAATCAAACATATAATCTTCTAAATGTTAAGGAAATGTATTCAAAAGGTTTCCCAAGGCTCTAGTTTTTTATTTACTAAATTAAGATTATCAATAGGATACTGAATTGTGTGCTACTCTAGAGATTTGGGATATAAAAATTTCAGAAACATTAAAATTCAATATATTATATCTCTTTAAATAAATTGATCCTCAAAACCCAAAGAGTTTACTCATACTTAGAAATTACCTCTATGATAGAGATTTACTGGAATATCATACCTTCACTTTCTTAAATCTAATTACTCTTCGAAATCCATAATATATATTGTTGGATCAGCTATTGATCCATTATTCCAAGAAGAGAAATCACCAATCAAAAATAGCACGTTTACATTTTAACTAAAGGTGATTGATGAAAGGAGAGAAGAAAAAAGTATATATAAGGTGGAAAGGTGAGGGAATGCCACGTTAGCCAAGTAAAGAACAGTTAAATAAATATTCTACTTCTAATGATTCTTCTTCTAGCGGGAATATGCAGAAACCCAACCAGTATTTTTTTAAAAACTAGATATTAGTATGAGACCAATGATTTCTGAGCAAAATTTTCAAAAACTATAATAATATTTTAAAAATGTACAAGACGCATTTTTTTAGAAGTAGTTTTTAAAGGATTTGAACTTAAAATTACTAAAAAGTTAATTCTCGACAGTTAAATTCTTTTATCCTTATAAATTTACCAAATGTTTGCAACTATTGTTAAAATTTTGATAAATATATTTTTCCTCATAATTTAAGAATAAATATCAACATATCTTTGTAAATAGCAATATTAAAAACAAGTTTAAATTTTTAGATTTCAGAAATATACCTAACAAACATGATTACAGAAGGTTTCTTCATATCTTGATTCCCTTAACACATCTTATGTGAATTATTGTGATTATGAATTATATTTTTGGATTTGGGCATCAATAATACATTGATTTCTAGCTGCCTTAGAAGTATTTCTACTTTCATTTTATCTGTTTTAAGTTGATATCGAATTCTTATAGATTAGTTTTTTATGGAGTTATTTAGGTAAAATATTAAGATTCTTTGGGCTTCTATATGTGTCTTAACAATTAATACGAAAACTAAATTGTCATAATTCCTTAAAAACCTTTTTGTCATTTTTACAATTCTTTGGAAATATTTTAAAAAATAGCTCTAATATAATTTTTTATCAGGATCACATTACCCTAATATTTTATTCTTCAAAATAAAAATTTCCCTCTTAAGTATGGAAATTAAAATATTTTGATGGGATGTAAGTAAAAGTATAGTTCATTAACTATAAAATAAAAACTTTAGGGTTTTTAATGATACAAGAATAATCTTATTCTGAAAATATAACCAAAGGGAATCATCCTAATGTTTTATTTTAAAGTTAAAAGTAGTTTTTGTTATAACTTTATTTTTTAAGACTATGATTTATGCATCAAAATATTGTAGCCTTTATAATTCTGGATGACTAATATAATCACTAATAATACGTGCATTTTAGCAAAAAAGGATAGTTTTTTCTATTTACTTCAAAAATCTATTTAAATATGGATTCTAGTTTAGAATGATTATGTTTATAAATTTCATGCTGACAAGAAGATTGTATAAATTATCAATCGATAATTTAAAAGAAAAGGTACAATTGTAAAATCAATTAAAGGAGTTAAACATTAAATTAGATGTGTAAATATACACGAAAAAAATATTTTATCTCTTAATAATAGTAAAGTAAATACGCAACAGAAAAATTTAGAAAAAAACATATTTAACCATTTAATTATTATTGACGGCATTTTTGCAGCCTGATCACTCTGTTTAACGGAAATTCCAGGATAATTTGTTGGAGAAAATGAAGATCATGTACTTTCAATAAAAGAAACAAGTATAAAATTAATTTATATTTAGTAAATTTTATAATATCAAGAATGAGGAAATGTATTTTATAAAGTTTAAATTAATTATTTTTAATTAATATTTTACCATTATTTAGAAATATTGTACATGTATCTTTAAAATAATATTTTATAAATATTTTTGATCTTAAAATTAATAATAAATTAATTTTAATAAGAATATATCCTATGTTTGTAAGTAAAATTAAGGAAGAAGAAAAAGATAATTATGACGTTATTTTAGTAGATAGCAAGAAATTTTACAAGAAGAAAGAAACACTCCCTAAGAATTCATCTAAATTAAGAAGGAAAAGATATTCAGATCAATTTAAAGATCCTTGTTTTGATAAAAAGGACATTTTTAGAAAGTTAAAAATGATTAAAGCATTTAGCACAAAGAACAGAGATTTAGATGCATTAATTAACAAATGGAGAAACTGTATTGAAGAATGCATTGTTCTATTGCAAAAGAACCACGGAATATTTGCTCATCATATATTTAAAGCTTTTTCTCTTGAAAAACATGGATTTAAATATGATGACTTTTGCAATAATTCTGATATCGAAGAGGAAACAAACAATCAATTTATATATGAATTTACTGGATCTCAATCTTCTTTTGATAAAGAAAAAAACGATTCATACAATCCTGAATTGGATGAAAATAATTTTTAATAAATATTCATAAAAATATTCGCTCTAACTGGGATTCGAACCCAGGACCTTTCGGTTAACAGCCGAACGCGCTAACCACTGCGCTACAAGAGCTCATTAAAAAAAGTAGCTTCCAATATACATAAAAATAAAATATTTCTTTTTAAATTTACAGCGTAATTATTTTGATTCTTTATGTTTAAAATTTTAAAATTTTAAATATTTTAATTAAAAAATAAGTTCTTTTTTTAATTTCAAGTTATACAAACATACTTTAAATATGTATATAATGGCTAACAAGCTGTTTTTTCTTTCTATAAAAGAACAATTTTTACTTCTTCAATTATAAGCGTAGCAGCCTTACTAGATACTAACACTTATTAAAATAAAATGAAAATATTTAGTTTTAATATCATAAAATATACTCAATTTTACTTTAGTATATATTTAACCTAAAAAGTAGAAAGATTTGAAATAATTTTTAATCTATTTTGAGACAATATTTTTATCGTATCCACATTCAAGTGATCTGCATCAAATGCATTTATAAAAAGAATTCACACCTTTAGTAGATACTAGGTAAAGAAGAAATACGAAGTATATTTTATATTGATTCGAAGCCTTATTGTTATATGTATTGTATTTTGTAGTGATTAATGAATGAATTGATTAAGAAATATTAAATTTGGATATATTTTTTATAGGAATCTTAAGCAATTTATATGGGAAATGATAATAGATCATTCTAAAAAATGCCAGTATTTAACAAATATGTTTAAAAACTATAAATAGTTATAGATTTTAACTATTAAACTCTGGAATTAATCTGTTCAGAGTGATGTTTATGTAAGAACAAATATTAACTTTGTTTTTATTATTTACAAAAGATATTATTTTATCTCTCAGGACTGTTTCTGTAACTAAGGTAATAAGTATTTAAATTTTATATTTTATATATACAAGAATTATATGTAGAAGGTATCTTTTATTAATTGTATTTGAATTTACATTTTGATATATGAAATAATTGTTTTCTCAGTTTTTGATCTGATTTTTTAGATTACATATAATCTTACTTTAATTCTAAACTAAATTCTTAATCTTTATGCGATATAAATATATCAAATCAGATCTTGTTAGTTAGTATGGTAATTCATAGTTACCAGCTTAAAGTATAGGTAGTTTAAATGAATATTTTATTATATAGATTTTTAAAATTGTTTTTACTCATGATCTCTTTTGCCATCCTCTCCAAAATTCTACATATTTATACCTATAATTTTGGAGATATTTTTGGAGGGTTGCTATGTGGTTAATTAAATATATTTCATGAGTTGGATAAATAAAACAAATCAATTTGAAAATTTTTAAAGAACTATTGACGATCCTTTTTTAAAAAATTTTTTATTATTTAATCATGAATATTAAATATATTTTAATTCTTATTTATTGATATAATAATTTTTGTAAGAATATCTTTTTTTGGTTCTTTCCTATTTTCCATCGTTATAAATATTATCCATCGTTATAAAAAAATACAATACCCCTACCTTTAAAATGTAAAAACACAAAATAAATAAATAAATCGAATTTGTTATTTTTAGAAAATATATTGGAGATACAATAGAAAAACAATACCCAAGGTAAATTTTTTTTTCTTAAAACACGTGAAAAAAATAATCGTTTAATTAACCCAAATTATAATCTCAAAAGAATTTGGGGTTTTTTTATGCCCCTCACTTTAAATAAACTTTTTTACTTAGTTGAATTTTCCTTAAAAAATCAGATTTGAGTTGAATTATGCTGTACAAAATTCTATTTTAAAATTGTTTAAATTATATATTTGTAGATATGAAATATTCTATAGTTAAAAAATTCTGAGTATTTAATTTTTTTATTTGTTTTTCATTATTATGTTATAGAGAAATTTATCGTTCCCTTTGAGGTTTTTAAAATATGTAATTTTAATAGTTTTTAAATTAAAAATATTTGCTAGAAGTTAAGTCTACTAATTAAATTACTCTTAAAAAATGTCAAAAAAGTCATTAAGGAAGAAAATCGTAGAAAATTATATGGAAGATTCTGCAATAAATTCAAGTTTATTGACTATGTCTTATTTGAATTATTTATCCAGGCATGAAAGTATTGTGTACCTAGAATATGTAGCAACACTAGGACTAATAAAGAATGAAAGATCATGTCCTGCTTGCAATAATAATATGCGAATTGTTCTTGATACAAAAAGAATAGATTCATATGCATGGACTTGCAAAATACCATGCCGAAAAACATTGTGTGTGAGGAAAGATTCCATTTTTGAACATATGAGAAAAGGATTTCACGTGATTTTTCTTTTTTTACGGATGTGGATAAAAGATGATTTACAGGGTGATATTGCTTTAGA